CGTGTGGCCACCCCGGGCTGGGTGTCTGGGGACCTTGTGCGCCCGAGCCCTCTCGGTTTCTGGTGGCGGGGGGCCGTGGGATCGGCCCCCGGCGGGCCCTCATCGTGGTGGGGGTTCCCTCTCTGGAAGCCCGTGGCCCATCTGGGTCTGAGCTGGAGGAGAAAACAAAACACGACCCAAAAATTAAAAAAAAAAAAAAAAAAGAAAATCAAAACCTCAAAACCCCCAAGCCCCAAGAATTTCCAGAAGCTGGTTCCTTTCTTAGCTTTCCCCGTCCTTTATTCTTTTTCCTTCCTGGGGCTGGCAGGCGAAACTGGGTGCTTCCCTTTCTGAAAATCTCATTTGCACATTGGGAGGTGGAAGTGGAGGGGGAGGGGGCCGTGGGCCTGGAATAGCTCCAGCCCGAGGGGGGTCGGGTTCCCCCGGTTGTGGAGCCCCGGGTCGCGCATTGTCTGTGGGGTGTGTGTATGTACGTGTGTTTTGCTGCCGGAGGTTTTATTTGGTGGTTGTTATTGTTTTGAAATATATGGCTAGGGCAGGGTCAGCCGGATGAGATGCAGAGGAGAAATTGATCTGTTTCTGAAATGAAATCTGCAAATGGTGGCCTCCTTCATACGTGGAGAAAGACAGCAGTGGTGGTGGGGGGGGGGGGTGGCGGGTAGGAGCCTGAACAGGATGCTTTGTGTTTTGAAACAAGGACAGTTTCAAATGCCGTGGCCGCCGGTGGCTTGGGCCTGAGCCTTGCTGTGGGGGTCCCATCCTCTTTGGAGAGGTGGCCCGCCCTCCCCAGAACGGACAGGGCCCCCCTGGGGCCGCCGCGATCCTGTTTACTAAGCACAGTGGGAGGGGGGCAGAACCCAATGCCTGCCCACACCTGTGCCAAGAAAACGCAGCCAGGAAACAGGGTGTCGCTTACATGGCATGTCACAAACGTGTAGCGTGTGTAGACATTTCCCCAGCATCCGTGCTCCCTTGGCGGTGTGTCACAGGCCATGACACATGCTCCAAGGAATGGGGAGGGGGGAAAAGTTAGCCGAAGAGTCCTACTCTTTGAATCAGGCCCCCGGCCTCCACCCCAGAGGAGTACACACGAGGACTTTTATTCTGAATTTGGGGTCCGACATGCTTAGAGCACCTATTTATTTTCTCCTTCCTGTGGGCAGGTTGGTGCAATGTCTGCAAAGCCTCCTTTCTCGGGGAGGGATTGCTGGGTGCCGGGAGGACGCCCAGCCCCGGTGTCAGGCTGCTGCATGTTCTTAAGCCCGTCCCGGCCAGGGGCCTCAGCATTCAGCTTTTCGGTTGATGGAGGGGGAGCGAGCCTCGGAAAATTGGCCAGCACAGAGTGTTTGGGGGGGGGGACTGGTGACCTGGGCACCTCCCTGCCTGGGCTCTGGAGCCCCCAGGTCTGGCTTCACGATCGATCGATCGTCAGCTCAGGGGCACTTTATTGGGCTTCATTGTTGTTCTTCCATGTCCCAACATGAAGGGGAATTGGGGAGGGAGAAGGGTTGGGAGGGACAGTGACCTGCCGTGAAGGACAGGCCGAGCCCCCCCCCCACCCCTCGGGAGTTGCCAGGATGAGTCCCCTGCTGCCCATGTCCTTGGTTTGGGGGAAGCCAGCTCTGGAGACTGAGGCCCCAGCTTGCCTCCCGTTGTTTATAGGCATGTCTGAGGAGGAGGGAAGGGGAAGGAATACTTGAGCAGCCTCAGGCCCCGTGGCCACCGTGGCCAGCTGAGGTGGCACCTTCGGTAGCTTGGGCCTCTCTGGAGAGCACCTGTGATTTCCAGTACTGGGACCGAGGGTTGTCCATTGCGTTGGGAAACGTGGAAGGAGGAACTACGAGGAAGCGTCCAATGGGCTGGCATAATTCCCTCTCTACTGCCTTTCGTCACCATGCCCGGCAGGCAGCGGGTGTCCCGAAGATTTGTGCTCCCCCCGTTGGGGGATCCAGAGGGGGCAGGACTCTCCCTGCCAGGGCCTGTGAGCGGAGGCGGGCTGCTCCAGGTGGGCCTGGCTGGAACAGTGGCCTCCAGGGCAGCGGTGGGGCTGGGACTGCCACCAGGGACCTTGTCCCACCATGAGACACCTGGTTGGTGTCCAGGCTCTCGGGGAAGCAAAGGAGCCCCTGTGGGGTTTCCCTGAGGCCTGGTCGTTATGTAATCTGTCTGCATTTTATAGTGCGGCCCAAGCACTATATTGAGAAATATTAGCCCAGACGAAACAAAGGTGAATTGGAGGGCAGTTCTCTACAACAGAAACCCTTTGCAGCCCTGTGGCTTTGTTGTAGCCCCTGGCCCAGCCTTGAGCTGCCATGTAGCAAGTGTGTTTCATACAGGGTGGAATCCTATCACGAAGTGAAATGCGCACCTTCCATATTTTAACCTGTCTACACAGACCAACTCAGAACCATCTAGTGAATAGCTGGGTAATTGTATGGGCTTCAAGAGTAAGACACAGAGTGATTGATCTGCATTTAAACCAATAAACAAAGCCAATAATCTTTTTTTGTCCAAACCGTCTTTGGAAACTGTCTACACTGATCCAGTTAACCGAATTCTAAGAAATTAAGACCAGGTTTGCAGGACCACGGCTGCATCAGGCGGGGTTGCAAGCATACTGGGGCCCCCCACTCCCACCTGGCAGGTGGTTTCAACTGGGTACACCCCTTAGCCTGGACCTCTCTTGGTTCTCTGCTAGAGAGATCCACAGAGGGGCCCGATGCTGTGGACTCAGCCTGGGGTCCAGGGACCTGACACCCCTGCAGGTTGTCGTAGCCCGCAGAGCCGACTTTGCCTTCCGCGGGATCAGGTCGGGGCTTGCCCTGCCGTCCTCTCCTGGGCCGGTTGCTGATTAAATCCTTGCCGAGCCAACCGCGTGCCTGACATGGCTTGTGGCAGCGGCCGGTTTGATGCCCCTGTACTTGGAAACTTTGGATCCGGAATGCTG